CCTTGTGAGCCCCTCATCCGTACCTCGGGTCCCCTCCAGGAAGGCCCGGTGCCAGCGCTGGAGGCACCTTCCCTGCTGCATTGTGGGGTGGCTTGGATGTGCGACCCCTCTCCTGCCACCCCTCTGCTCTTGTCACTGCTGGCACCCTCCCTGCAGCGTCCTGGGCAGCTTGGGGCCCTACCAGCTATTCTTTTTCCAGGCTGGGGACACCTGTCCTGCCCTACTCCTCTCTCAAACTAAGGACCAGGTTAGAACGTCAGGGAGAAAACCTTCTGCCCCCCCCGGCTCAGGGAGCCTTGTCTGGGGAGGGGGTGAACCCCCTGTGCCCGGCTCAGTGGGAGGGCTCCGCTCCTGGGTCCCACCTCGCAGGGTGCTGGGGCTGCAGACTGGTCTGTCCACGGTCCCACCAGGCCTACGGGCAGCAGATGCTGACAGGGCTTGGGTGGCCGCAGTGTCCCCGTCCCCAACCCTCCCTGGTCCTGCGGCCAGGAACCATGCTGCCTGGACCCTGTTAACGAATAGCGAGTCAAAACCAGCAGCGGCCGGGCTGTTGCCGGGCTCTTGCTGCAGAAAGGGCTGCGTCGCTGCCGGTTTCTGCAGCCAGAAATGTTGTTCTGCTGGCTGAAGAGCAGCCTCCCTAGTCAAAGTTTATTTAAGGGCCATCTGCTCTCCTCCTCGTTACCCCACCGTCACTTGCACCCCTTCTCTCGCTGGGGTACGGCACCCCTGGGACTCCTCCTCGCCCCCATGCTGGCAGCCCCTGCCCTCCCTCCCCACCATGCTGCTCCTCTCCAAACCTCTCTCCATGAGCATCTCCCACCCCCTCTCCAAGGGCATCTTCCCGATAGCTGATTTCTTCCCGTCTGACCGATTTTTCTATTCCCACTGCATTCCCGTTCTCCCCGTAGGTTATTTTTCCTAAGTTTCTCTACCCTTCTTGTTCTCCAAGCTCCCGTCCCCAGACCCTTTCACATCCCCGGTTCTCAGACCCGAGGACGCACAGCGAGGCTGGGATAACTCCGCTCGAGTAAACACCCCTGTCAGGACGCATCTGGGCTTATTCCGCCCCCTCCTAGGCCGAGCTCTACGCACAGTTTGTTTGGAAAGAACTTAATCAGATGAATGATATCAAAGGACTACATTAAAACGATTGCTTATAGCTAAGGTTTTATTTAATTGTTTGGGGTTGCTCGTTTAATAATCTTCCCCCCGAGCAGACACAGACTGTAAATTTATCTTCCGAGGATTTCAGAAGTTCGGCGGCCAGAACAAAGCCCAGACTGCTGAAGAGGGGCAGGGGCAAGTATTTCCAACAGTTGGTCACTGGAGTGGTTTTTAGATTTAAACCGGTAGCTATCGTCTTAAAACATCAGAGGACGATTTAGTATTTCTCCTTAATACCGATACACTTGGCTATGGCACTGATATGCTCCGTTCACTTTTTAAAAGATCATCTCTCCCTGGGAAATTTCAGAGACAGCTATAAAGAACAGATTAAAATACACACAGGGTTTGTTCGTGTGAGACCTGTTGGGAATGGAGACAGGTTCTATAAAGCTGCCTCTGGGGCAAGGCTGGGGTTTTTACAGCCGTAAAGTGCCATCCTGACCTTCACAACACAAACACCGAACACACGAACATCCCTGCAACCGCTGTTTGCTCGGTGTGAAGTATCCTCCTTCCCTCTGGAGCTCCGCGCTTCCACAGTTTCCTGGAGCTTCCCAAACCACCTGCCTCCCCCTTCCCTGCGGCCCTCTCTCTCCTGTTGCCCCTATTATTTCGGCACTGCTTATTTTTTTTGGTCCCGCGCTGGCACTGTTCGTTCTGCACCTCGTGCTGTGTTACAGGCAGCAGCTGCAGTGGGGTAGGAGAGAGAAGGACTGGCTGTGCTACACGCCAGGGAGAGAAAACAGCAGATAATAACATGCACTCTGGCCATAATCTCTGTTTTTTTTGGGGGAAATCAGGTTGAAAAATCCAAGTCCTTTAGGCTGCATCTGAAAACTGAGCTCTTTGTAGATTAGTTGCTGAAACGTATGCTGTCCGCAGCCGACGGCGGAGCGGCTCAGCCCAGCTATGTGTGCAGAACACTTTTCTATGAGGTCATCTATTACCCAGCAACACCACGCCATGCTATTCCAGACCAGCACGCCCGATGCCAGCGCAGCTTTACTGGCAGAGCCCAACTTTGTACCGATACCCCAGGAGCACAGCTCACATCTCACGTCTCAATGGGAGAGAGCCCAGCAGCAACCCAGGGACATGGCACGGCTGTGTCTGGCTGGTGCTAAGGGCTGATGCTGAGGGTCCGACTATTTGAACAAATCCAAGTCATTTGAGTAAAATGTGAAAAGCCGCTATTTATTGAACTCTCCCCCCCATTTCCTTTTTGCTATTCCTTTCTTCTCACTGCTCTACTTCTGGATGTTTGCTTCAGGAGCTGCTTCTCTCACCCCGGCCTCATCCTGTACGACACCCTGACTCCCGCCTGGTGTCCCCTCCATCTCCTTCCCTGCTTTTGTTCTCCTGCCTCTTTCTTGCCTTCCCACGTCTCGCTCTGTGTTTCCACCTCACTTTTCCTAAGCAAATTCCCTCACTCAGACTTTTTGGTTCCTTCTTTTCGAACCATCCCGACTTCCACCTGTTGCCTCGACCCATCCTGCAGCCACCAGCCCACACGAGCTCCTCTCTCTTCGCTGACCCGGGGCTCCGCTTCCCTGCCTGATGCTTCTCACGTGCTGCCGGTCCTTCCTTGCCGTTTCCATTGATAGATGCCACGTTCACGTGGCACTCAGGAGGCATCGGTGCAGGTACCATAGACGTACTCAGACCACTTTCAGTGCACTGGGTTTGGTGCAACACCAGAAGCGTGGTCCCAGGAAGACCTGGATGGGCCGCACAGGCGGCCAGCGACAGCCCCAGCTACTCTGGGGGAGAAAGCTGCTGACAGCAGCGCTGCAGCGCCCAGACTCTGAGGCCCTTGTGGAGGTCAAGAGGAGCTGATGGGTTCAGGTGGATGAAAAAAGTGACGTACTGGCCCCAGAATTTCAAGACTGAGCTTGCAGTTAGTCAGCTAAGCTGCACTGGCGGCTCAGAGCCTCCAGTCGCTCCGTGCTCCTAATATTGCAGCGGCAGATAGTTCTTTATGTGCAGAGGAGTGACTTGGTTTACTAAACTGATGACACAAGCATACATTATTTCTATTTTAATATTATACTGTGTTTCCAGTTTGCATTCCTCACCTTACAGCATCTCTTTACCCTCTACTTATAGAAGCTTTCATTCGTTCTTTTTCCTACTTATACAACAGTGTAATTATGGAAAAAAATAGGGTAGCTACTGGCCAAAAAGTTATTTTTGTTGAAGTTATTAAAAAGAGGAATACTTAGATTTAAAAATGTTTATTTACATTCAAAATAAAGGCATCACACCTGTATAAAACATTCATTTTAATCTCTATTTTCAAAAATCCAGACCCAGCTGTTTGTGAAACTTTTTCTGGTCTGTCAAAGAAGAGATGCAAAAATATCTACACTGAGAAAAGCAAACCTCTTTTTCTAGATCTGCGGAATTAAGGCAATGGCAGTGTAGGATGCCCCCCCTCCTTCAAGCCTCTCTCGCGAGCCTGAGCACCCTTTCCCAGGCGCGACTTCCAAACACTGCCCAGGACTTTACGAAGAGTGGAGTGGGACCTGAAAGCATTTAGTCCTGAGTGCAGTGGCCTTGCACCTTCACCCCCACGAGGTCAAGCCGGAGTCGTGCATGGCTGCCTTCCCCAGGAAGGCTTCTTCCTCCGTCAGCACCAGGGCAAAACTTTGCAGTGCAGATTGACCTTAAAAACTTAGTTTAAAATTTACTGATGCGGAAAACACCAAGCTGGGCCTGAAGCGAGTGGTCCACACGGCAGGGTCCTGCCAGCGCGGCTGTGCCAGCGGGGAGTGGAAGCACTGCGTCCCTGGGCCGGGGTGCGGAGGGGCGCGGGGGGGGCATGGTCTCGGT